GAAAAATCAACAAATATTTTCTACCAGAGGAGGAAGATTGATGCAGTGTACCTTGACTTCTCAAAGCCATTTGGTGTGGTCAGTCACGTATGTCTCATCAATAAGTTCAAAAAGTTAGATAACAGCTGGCCGTTAATTGACTATGTAGATCACCAACGAAGATGATCTATGTCGAGCTAGACGCAAATGGTGTGACAAACTAGCTAACGTCGAAGTTACATCTCGCAATCAGCACCTTAAGTGGTTTACCCCATCGACGTATCAAGGTACTATAGATGCTTTGAAGACTGTACAGCACAAAGGACGTTATTACAGAAATATATTAGTTAAAGTAGATACAAGCGAGGGCAAGAGCACTGCCGCATGGGTCAGTCTATGGCGTACGATTAACTGGTGTGCATTGGTTGTCCTTGATCTTGACAAGGGTCATTGAATTTTTCTATATATAATGACCCAACTGCCGGATGATTTGGCTGGGGCTCAGTGGACTTTCACTGGTCCTACAAATAGCTTGCTTCATATATAAAAAACCCACCTTTACGAGTGAGGGTAAATTTCACTTGTTCTCAGGTTATGAAATGTCATGATGGTGTTCAGTACTAGGATGTCTTGTATTTTTCATTCGTGTTGTATCAGCAAATAAATCTCCAAAATGAGTAGTTCTGTTGGTATTCGACATGATGCTGACTGTATTAGCTTTTGTGAACACACAATAGTTGATAGTAGTCGGTCGCGCATCCAGACCAGATCACGATTGGTAATGCAGTGGTATGCATCCTCTGCAACCACTAGCCAGCCCAGATCAAACGCTTCTCAATATATCAACAACTTTCAAAGATATCTTCAAATCTCCTCATTCTTGAATCCCGATTTGACAGAGTTAGTATCCTTCGATCATAAAGGCGTTACGTGTAAAGTCGTTATCAAACTCCAAATACCTATGGCATCTTTAATATAAGTGACCTTTGTTAGTTATGTCCATAACTAACCAATCAAATTGTCGCTTAATCTCCCACCACGTCAATCTGTTCTGATATGTCTGTAAACAATCCCTGTTACAAGTGACCTACCAATTGAAAGACATTATTATCCGATTATTATATTGTGGCTCATAATTTTTATTCATTTCGATAAAACCTGCAATACTGGTCGGTATGTTTCTGCGTTCCACTTAATGACTGTAATTCCTTTATTTATTGTACTACTTTATATGTTTTTACGTTTAGAAACAGATAACGTTTAAAGCAAAGTTGTCCTTGTTCTGACCATAGCTTTCACATCGACTCTGAGATCGCCACTATCGCGTTTACAGTTCTAGTAGTATATCTGTAGAACAAATTAAATCCTACAACCTCCTACAGCAAGTGTTGTATTGTTTAATACTTTTCTCTGACAATAAGAATCCTGACAGAGGGGTTCGCAACCAAAGTGTTAAGCTGACACTTCCAAAGGGTCTGACTCGATTTCACTGGTCACTGGATAGCAATGGGTCAACACTAAACACTTTAAGGTATGAAACAGTCCATCTCAGATAATGTGCAAACTACACACACAACTTAGGGAAGTCCCCACTGCATGGTTCCTAGGTTTAATAAGACCAAAGTGTCTTTGTGACCTACGGTCTAAAGTCTTTGACTAGGTTCAACAAAAATGCCTTTCGATCAAACCTTACACACGTAACGTTCGATGGTAGAACATTCTAGTTGACCCTCAACAATTTTATCTGACTTCATTTAGAAAATGGAAATATAGTGTATCCTCTCACTACAAAAGTATAAGGTTACGCTTGAGTGTATCCCGAAACGAACAAAGAAATCAGTTCGGACACTTAAATACAGACCTTATGAAGAGCTTCTCAAATAACAAAATCTTTACAAACTGGAGTATAGGCATCTTAGAGGTTAGCGTCTATAGACTTATGGCATCCAAGACACTTTTTGGGAATCCCCACGAATACCTACTTAAGCTCAGTCTCAACACAAACCTTACGAGTGACACCTGGGAATTATGGACAAGACACAGAAGAACGGACTGCAGACAGACATTTCCCTATTTGCGAGATGATCTCGGCGATCTTCCGTAAGTCTTTAAAGATAAAACTCGAAGTAATTTTAAGGACTGAAGACATCTCACTATGATTTACCAGTATTTTTCGTTTTTTAGATACCCTCAAATTCCTGCTCAGAGACATCGACGATTCACTGTCACTAAATACCGAAGCCCGTCAAGCAAAAGCTTTTTCCATTTCGTCCAAAATTTCACTGCATGGAGGTGCACCAGGTTCACAACCTCGAGTTTAACAATCTTGAAGAATCCATATGATGCTCTGTAAGGTTGTCTAGTACTTCCAGGTGTCTAGTCGGAGTCATTTACAGGAAGCCAACTGCCGACACCGAGTACGATAGTCGTATGCTGGAAGGACTATCCTGCTCTATCCGTCTCGGTTTCACACACATCCTGATTCTAGGGGACTTTAATCTCCCTAGAGTCAATTTCGCGGAACACACGTACACTGGAGGCGACAACTCAACTGAAGCTCGGTTCTTCAACCTCATCGATAACTTGGGCTTATACGAAAATGTGAGGTCGGCAACTCGTTGGAGAAACAGTCAGACACCATCGCGCTTAGACTGTGTATTCACTAACGAAGAATTCCTAGTCGACAACCTCTCAATCCTGGCTCCTCTGGGAAAGAGCGATCATGCCGTCATAGCCTTCAGTTTTGTCATCAAAACTAAGCTAAGGTATCCCAACAATAATTTGCGTTGGAATTTTAAACGGCTGAATGTGCCAGCTCTACATGACTATCTACAACAGGTGGTTTGGGATGTTCACCCTCAAATCGATGTGGATGGTCATTGGGACTTCTTACTGCACACGCTCCTATGTGCTACAGACCATTCAGTTCCTCAAACGGTTCCCAAAAGCTGCAAGCCACCTACAGTAATCAAGAACCGTACCCTTCGCCTGCTAAGCCGCAAAAGACACTGTTGGGCGGAATACAAACGAACTAATAACGATGGAGCGTATAGGCAATATAAACATATCAGGAACATATGCACGAAGGCTATAAGAGAAGACAGGCTTCAGTACCAAACAAAGCTTATGGACAAATTCGCCTCTAACCCTAGAAGCCTATTCCGTTACGCAGCCTCTCTTCGTCAAGCCAAAACAGGAGTTTCTCAACTGCTCGGTCTTAACGGCCCGACCAACAATGATGGCGACGCCGCTAACCTTCTGGCGGCACATTACTCTCAAACATTTCAACCGGCTGACATCAACTTTATTGACGACAGTTTCATCTGCGATTCCACAGGACTTTCTGAAGTGGACCTAAGCGCTGACTTAGTGTTCCGGAAACTGCGGCACTTAAGACTTGACACTTCTCCTGGCCCGGATATGGTTCATCCTGCCATACTGAGGGAGGCAGCCTCAATCCTGGCAACGCCGCTTAGCGTGATGTTTTCACACTCGCTTAGCCGAGGCACATTACCGGAAAATTGGAAGTTGGCTCACATCACACCAATTTTCAAAGGTGGTCGACGCAATGAACCTTCAAGTTATCGACCGGTGGCTCTTCTCTCCATACCCTCAAAAATCATGGAGTCCCTGATATGCGACGTTTTAAACGACTATCTACTGTCCTTAAATTTCTTCTCACCCCAACAGCATGGTTTCAGGAAGGGTTACTCTTGTATAACCAACCTGCTGACTGCGGTGGACAGATGGACAAGCATCCTCGATCGCAAGGGAAAGGTTGATGTCATTTACCTTGATTTCCCAAAAGCTTTTGATAAGGTTAACCACTTGTGTCTTATCAACAAGCTCAAACGACTAGGTATCAAACCACCTCTAATCGATTGGCTTACTTCATATCTAAAAAATCGACACTTTAAGGTTAGGGTTAATTTCACTTTATCTCAAGCTATGGAATGTCCTAGTGGGGTCCCCCAGGGCTCAGTACTAGGGCCTCTTCTCTTCTTGATCTACATAAATGATCTTCCTCAACAGGTAACGTCAGACTTATTACTTTTTGCCGACGACGTGAAACTTTGGAGAGAGATACGCAACCAAGACGATATACAGGCACTTCAAGAGGATCTGACTCGACTTCAAAGTTGGGCAGACGATAACGGACTTACCTTTAACACTTCAAAGTGTAAAGTAGTCCATCTGCGACATATCGCAGACTACATTTATAACTTAAGAAACTCCTCTCTAGTTCTATACCAAGTCTAAAAAGATTTAGGAGTCCTGGTTTCCTACGATTTAAAGTCTTACGCTAACTGTGACAAAATGCCTTCCGAGCAAACCTTGCACTGGTAAATTTGAAGTGCATTTTTGGACAGTTTGACGGAAGAACTTTCCACACAATCTTCAATAGTTTCATCCGTCCCCATTTAGAGGACGGAAACATAGTACTTCCCCACTCAATCCAAAAGGACAAGGACACTTTGGAGCGTATCCAACGGCGAGCCACGAAATCTGTTGGGGGACTCAAATTTAAACCTTACGAAGAACGCCTACGTTCACTAGACCTTTACCCACTAGATTATAGGCGTCTTAGAGGTGATTTATTAATGGCTTATAGTATTCTTAACACTTCTGGACATCCTCTTAAACACCTACTTAAGCTTAGTTCGAATAATAACCTAAGGGGTAACACCCAGAAACTGGAAACACAACATAGCAAGACGGAATGTAGACACAACTTCTACTCCTTAAGAGTTGTCAAAAGCTGGAACTCGCTGCCGGCCGAGCTAGTCCAAGCGACTTCTCAGGAGTCCTTCAAGAGGCAACTTGACCTATTCTTAAGGACCAAGGACAGCATCACACTATGATTTACCAATTTCTTTTCCTCTTTTATTGTTAACATACCTAGGTTCCTGCCTGGAGGATTTGGTGATCCCCTGCTACTAGACACGGAAGCCTGTTAAGCGAAAGCTTCTTCTATTCCGTCCACAACCATTTGAACCATTTGAACCATTTAGATTGATGATTGAACAAAGGAGCGTGCTTTAAGATTCCCTCGAAGTCGCGGTTGGACTTCGACCACGTTCGGTTAGTTCAGTAGTCACTTGTTTGGTTTGTGGTATTTTTGACTGAAATAACATATACATTAGATGAATAATTCGCATGCGATCGCATACCGTTTTATATTGAGATACACCCTGTCATATTGCTATCTTTGAGATAAGTCGGGGGAAGTTTTTGTACCAAAATGTGGCGGACTTTTGAGGGAATTGTGTCTTACTGCGACCTGTTACTCTAACCTCGGGCAAATATCTTGCCTTTTAATTGAACCGTCTTTATTGTGGGAAATTCCAGCACCATGTTTTGGGAGGGATTAGACCCCCTAAAGTACACTTTGCTAAGACGCTCGTTATTCTAACATCCATATGCCAGTTTAAACATATTTTTAGTAACATTATCAAACCCTACTGCGTGTGCGTAGAATATGTTCTCCGCTGGAACTAATCCAGAGGCGAGTTGCAAAAATTTCCTAGGAACAAAAACTGGACTTATACATGTTGAGATATATGTAACTCAAAAGTGATCTCGTAGTGACCACGTAAATCATAAACGTAGTTGTTCTCTGAAATACCCGGGTTTATTATTTTCCATAACGTTGGTTATAGTACTCTCAATTTCGATATGCGACAGCTGTTTGTATTGTAGACAATTTTGTCTACCCATAAAGAGCAGTCAAAGCTAATTATTTGGATCGCTCCAAGAATTTCTATAGAACTCTTTGAGAGGGGAGCTTTTGTTCTGTTGGAGATTTGATAAGATCTCACTAATTTTATGAAGTATTTCATACTCCAACTTATTTCATACACCTAGGTTCCTACCTAGATTCATCAATGCTCCATTTTTGCTGGTCACGACAGCTCGTTCAGCAAAAGATTTATTGTCAGCCATTTATATGCCGCATATGTAGGTCCAAGACTACAAGCTTGCTTCGTGGTTCATCTTTGAATATTTTCCCAGGTGAAGGTAGGAAGGCTATCGAAAATGAAAACATTTTTATCACTAACTCGTCTAGTTGTTGTTCGAGCGAAACTGTAATTTAAAAACGAGCCAATCACAAGCGTTTGAGCACTTTCAATTATTAGTCAATCAGAAGACAGTTAAATAAAGTGAAAATATATAAGAAAGTAATGAATTACGGTGGATATTCTTCTTTTACATGATTTAAAAACTTGTTAAGGTTTGATAAAGGTTCAGAGGTTCTGAATTCATAATGCATATGGTATAGAAACTCGTCCATAGGGTTAGGGTGCTAACCCTAACCCTATATGATCGGTTTGCAACGGATTTTAGAGAAGAGGTGTTTATTGAGAGGCTACAACCCTAACCCTATGGACGAGTTTCTATACCATATGCATTATGAATTCAGAACCTCTGAACCTTTATCAAACCTTAACAAGTTTTTAAATCATGTAAAAGAAGAATATCCACTGTAATTCATTACTTTCTTATAATATATTTCTACTTTATACTGTCTTCTGATGGCCTAATAATGGTCAATGTCATTTAAGATTCGTTCAAAGGTCGTCCCTAAATTAGAGTCTCGCCAGTTGTTCGTTTATACCATACGAGTCCTGCATTATATTGCATATGGACGAATCTACACTTTTCGTTGCTATCTACTCAAATTTAAGGTTGATTCCAACCCTCTTACAGTTTTGTCATTCTGGATTGATTACTCGACCTGGCCTTACATTGCCTGCAAAAGTGTTTGCAAAAGACTTGTCGTTATTATTTGTTTACGTATTTCAGAGAGTGGAAGGCCTTAAATTTCTGCTTTCGCAAATGATGACTCATTATCTTGTATAGTTTCAATCGACCTCACTTATTTGCCTAATGAGTTAATCTATCATGTCATATTTGTTCTTATTTGAAATTTTTGTTTCGATCGTTGTTGATTAGCCAGCTTATTATTCAATCTGAACTGGGTAAAGAGTTTGACTGACTACCATACTAAAGCTAAATTTTGGAGAATCGTACTACATAAAACATGAGTAGTAGTGATGAAATCTCTTGGATATCATGGTTCTGTGGCCTACGTGGAAATGAGTTCTTTTGTGAAGTAGAGGAGGATTACATCCAAGATCGATTCAACCTTACCGGTTTATCAGAGCAAGTTCCTGAATACCGTGATGCTCTCGATATGATACTTGATTTGGAAACTGGTAAGACGTTTATAAATCTTTTTGTTTTGTAAGATTACCGTCTGTTGCATCTTGTTTTTCGTAAATCTTTTAGATGCTAAAATTTGGTACTACGTGCCTTCATGTTGCATGTCATTAAATCTGGGTTTTTTTCCGTGTGAATTATGAACTTGATCTACGCTGGTATAGAAATATTTCGGTTGCTTCGCTATTCCCTCATTACTAACGTTTGCAACTATCTAAATTTAGAAAAGTAACATTATGTGGTGTCTTGGACTTGAGGATCTTTACTTTTGGTTCGCCGTTCCTCAACTAAAATGCCAGATGTAATATGGACTGAAGAAATGCTTTATATAGTTGCATTCGACCGCTACAATTGGCGAGCCTACCTGGTGTACCAGAGTAACAGTTTTGGTTTAGCAATAAGTTAAAGAGAGTGAATCCTTTTTGAGAAACCAAAGCCGATCTGGATAATCTTTAATCTTCGTAAAATGGAGTGTGACTCTTTCCCAATATTAGTTATTGATAACACTCTCCGTCTTCCCTTAAACTAAGAGATTAAAATCGCTTCATATCTTTCTTTCTACGAACTAATTCTTTCTTCCTGTACTATATCCTTGTATTCAATCTTTCTTTTATATATTACCACCTCTGAATTAACTACTTTTATGAATCCGGTGTCAATCTTGTTGTGTTAATGAGGTATGGCAATTTGGACCGATGCATATATGTGCCTGGTCCTACGTTGTAGCTGACTGACTGACTGACTATTGATAACCGTCTTTTGGGATGGTTCATCACGTCTTGCTGCATTTCTGTCCCAACTCTATCACAGCTTTTTCAATTTCTTAAAAGGTTGGAAAGTCGCTGTTAACGCACCTATTTGTTGAAATCACTTTGCTAACGAGTGGTGTGTAGATGTAAATAGGCGCTTCACTTATCAATCTAGCCTCCTACTGTAAAAGTTTATTGACAATGAGTTTATCCCCTCAAGATTGTCTTCATCATAATCATTAAGAAAACCATTTAGACCTCGGTGTTAGTTACACACCTCCTACAGTTTCGCTAGTCACTGTTCGATTCTCTTTCAAGTTATTTCCTGTTTATAGTGTCTGGATAAAACTAATGCTTCAAAAACCAGACAGTTATCATCAACGCAAAGCCTGATACAGATGTACGTTTCTTTAAGTTGTCGTACTACAGTGCTATGAGATGAAACTAACCAAAAATGTCGAAATAATGTAATAAGGAGAATGAGAAAAACTAAATATTGAAAATTCAAATGGTTTTAAAGAACAAGCAAATTGTTATAAAAGAACACAAACTCAAAATCTAGAGATAAAGAGTGAGTGGGTCTGCGCTATAGCGAATGATTGTGAATCGTTTAGTCCAAATTCTCTAGTAGTTTTTTTTCCTAAAAGTTCTTTTAAAGGGAAGCATTTGCGGAGAAATGAAACCATTCATGGATTAGCGTTTCAGTGGAAGCTAACAATTAGCATAGTGTGAAACCTATGTCTTCTAGGATACTGAACCCATTGTTCATCATAAGAAATAGCAACGTTTTTCTCACTATCCCATGTTCCACTGTTCTTTTTTTTGAGACGCCTCACTACTAAGTAAATAGGTGAGTTAAGCAAGGGCAGTTTACAAGTGTTGATATATTACATCATAACTGGCATCAAATAAACTGTTAGGAACAGCTTGCTGACTTTTACACGCGTGCGTATCAATCTCCGTATTTTGTAGAGAGTAAACCACTGAGTCAAATATTTCCCCTGACTTATCGAGGATTTAACTTATTTGCTAGGTTTGTGCTAGATACGTTTGTTCTGGTAGGTCAGTCACTTAATATAAGGTTTTTAAAAAAATACTTTTAGACCCTTCTGATAATCCAGAAAATACCGATCTCATTGAACAAGCAGCTGAAATGCTTTATGGACTAATACATTCTAGATACATTCTGACAAATCGTGGTATTTGTTTTATGGTGGCGAAATGGCAGCAAGGAGATTTCGGTTATTGTCCTAGAGTAAGTAAACTTTTTCTGCTTGCATATGTTGAACTTGTAAATATTCTTTCACTTTGACATTTAAATGAAATAAAAGCAGTCTTGTTTCATTTTTTTCGCAACCATAACTGAAGTTAGCACTTTCTTTCATTTTATTTTGCACTACCTACATAACACAGAAATGTATTCATAATAGTTCAAGTGAGAAAATATTAAAGTATATCAAAATAAATAGGGATATGAATTAAAAGATCTTGATTTACTTATTTATTTATTTATTTGAGCACATAAATATTGGACCGAGAAACCTGGTAGTCAGAGCGTGTTAATGAGCTGGAAGCAGCAGTTTCATCTGGTAACTAACGGAAGCTCTTCCAACTCATCCGAGCCGCTGGCAGCAAGAAGTCTCGTGTGAGCGAAACAATCTGCGAGGATGACGGGATGCCAATCACCAACATCCATTGACGTATTGGATGATGGGCAGAATTTTTCGAAGGGCAGTTCAACTGGCCTGCCGCTCCGGCAACATCGGTCAGACTATCCTGCCCTCCCTGGCTGGTGACGACTGATCCACCAAATGAGGCGGAAGTTCGCAAGGAACTCCAACTCTTAAAGCGCTACGAATCACCTGGCCTAGATGACTTACCTCCGGTTCTTTTTAAAGATGATGGTGACTTTCTGGCTAAAGAACTGACTGTGTTGTTTACAAAGGTCTGGAAACTAGAGAGTGTACCAACGTCATGGAATGAGCCGATAGTTGTCCCTATCTTTAAAAAGGGTTTACGTCGTTCCTGTAACAACTATCGGGGGATGTCTACTTCCTATTGCGTCCAAGCTATTGGTTTCCGTCATACTTCGTAGGTTGTTCAAAACCCGAGAATAATTGACTCGCGAGGAGTAGGCTCGGTTTCGTTCTGGTCGAGGATGTATAGACCATATCTTCACCCTCCGCCAAATGCTAGAACACCGCCATACTTATAAACGGCCAACAATCGTAGTGCTTCTTGACATCAGGGCTGCCTTCGATTCGTTGAACAGGGCTGTACTCTGAGATTGTCTATTGAAGGGTGTGCCTGAGAAGTTTATTCACACCTTAAATGCCCTATATACAAACACTTCAGACAGAGTGAGGGCATACAACTACCTTTCTCCATTGTTCCATTCGAGCAGTGGGGTTAGGCAGGGTTGCCCAATCTCACCATTCCTGTTCAACTTTGCCATCGATGATATTCTGGAAACAGCTCTGATGGATGTAAGTAATGGTGGTGTGGATTTGTTGCCTGGAGAAAGACTTCTCGACCTTGAGTATGCGGATGATATTGTCTTACTGTGCGATAATGCCCAAGCCATGCAATCCGCACTTAATCAGTTGGCAATCAATGCCCGTAGGTATGGTATGTGCTTTGCACCTCCGAAGTGCAAAGTACTTCTACAAGACTGGAAGGATTCTAATCTTGTACTCACTCTGGATGGTGAGCAGATAGAAGTAGTTGAGAATTTCGTGTATGTAGGTAGCTGCATGAGTTCTGGTGGTGGCATGAGTGATGAGATCAATTCACGTATAGTGAAAGCCAGAACGGTTTATGCCAATCTGGGCCATCTTTGGTGCCTTCGTGATGTTAGTCTGGGTGTAAAAGGTCGGATCTACAACGCGTCGGTGAGAGCAGTTTTGCTCTATGCTTGTAGAACCTGGCCTCTCCGAGTTGAGGACGTTAGACAGCTCTCTGTGTTCGATCATCGTTGTCTCCGAAGGATTGCTGACATCCAGTGGCAACACCATGTTAGTAATGAAGAGGTTCAGCATCGTGTGTTAGGGCACAGAGACGATAATGCAATTGGTGTCACCATCTTAAAACACCAACTTTAATGGCTTGGACATGTTCTCCGAATGTCGTCCCAGAGAATCCCACGTCGTGCATTATTTGCCGACTCTGGGACTGGTTGGAACAAGCGGAGAGGTAGTCAGTGCATGACATGGTGTCTTGGTATGAAAGAAAGCTGCAAAGGGCTGGCTTGTGTTCAGTCAGTCAGTCAGTCAGCTACAACGTAGGACCAGGCACATATATGCATCGGTCCAAGTTGCCATACCTCATTAACACAACAAGATTGACACCGGATTCATAAAAGTAGTTAATTCAGAGGTGGTAATATATAAAAGAAAGATTGAATACAAGGATATAGTAGAGGAAGAAAGAATTAGTTCGTAGAAAGAAAGATATGAAGCGATTTTAATATCTTATTTTAAGAGAAAACAGAGTGTATACACCGACGTCATTATGACCGATTCTGAGCCATGTCACCAAGAGTCTCCAACCATTGGTTACGACAGTCATGCGGACTCCAACCAAGTAGTCTGCATCTACCAACATGCCTCAGACTAAAAGTTAGTGACTTCAAGCACTGATGCCGCGTTTTGGTTTGGCCGCCCCTAGCCTTCTTCCAACCATCTCCAACACCGGTTAGCATTTCACGTCGTGGTAATCGGTGTTCGGGCATTCGTAACACGTGGCCCAACCGTCTCAGTCGATGAAGATTAACAAACTCATCAACTGAATTACCATCATTCCCTAATACCCTGCGTTTAACCTCACTATTACTTACCCGGGGATCCCAGCAGACGCCAGCAATATTTCTAAGGCATCTGTGGTCAAATACTAGTAGCTTACGAGTGTCTTCTACTCTTAAAGGCCATGTTTCGCTGCCGTAAAGTAAAACAGAACGGACTGCTGCGCAGTATACTCGTCCTTTTATTGATAGACGTATATCTCGCCTTCGCCAAAGGTGAAGTAAGTTGGCAAAATCCAAACGAACTTTTTCGAATCCGTGCTGAGATTTCGTCCGATACCAACCCATTAGGGCTGATCAGACTTCCTAGATAAGTGAAGTTGTCGACGCGTTCGACTACTTCACTCCCTATCCTTAGTTCAGGTGTTGACGCAGACCAGTCCTGAAGCAACAACTTGCATTTAGAGGGAGAGAAGCGCATTCCAAACATTCTGGCATTGTTGCTCAGTGCTACCAGAAGACTCTGCATTTTGTCAGCGTCTTCACCAAACAGGACTATGTCATCTGCGTATTCTAAGTCGATAAGTGGACCTCCTGGTAGGAGATCAATACCCGAGAACTCAGTCGACGAGAAAGTTATTTCCATCAGTAGATCTATGATGAAGTTAAACAAAAATGGAGAACGTGGACAGCCTTGACAGACACCACTTGAGGTTGCAAAAGTAGGTGACAGTTCGCCATAAGCCCTGACTCGACTAGTAGTGTTCGAGTAAAGAACCTTTACAAGGTTCATGTACTTCTGGGGTATGCCTTTCAATGACAGACACTGCCACAGTATCTCGCGGTCTACAAAGTCAAATGCTGCTTTTAAGTCAAGAAGGACCACCATTATCGGACGCCGATAAGTATGCCTATGTTCTAGAACCTGACGAATGGTGAATATGTGGTCGATGCAGCCACGACCAGGTCTGAAGCCAGCTTGGTTCTCTCGTGTTTGCAATTCACGAGTCTTAGTTAGGCGTCCGATAATTATCGAGGCTAGTATTTTATATACTATATTTGTTAAACTAATCCCTCTGTGGTTGTCACAGGATGATTTTGACCCTTTCTTATATATTGGGACGATAAGTGATTGTGACCAGTCAGATGAGATAACGTCTGACTCCCAGATCTTAGCTAAAATATTAGTCAACCTAATCGCTAAAATTGGACCACCATCCTTAAAGACTTCTGGAGCCAATCCATCTGGACCAGCTGCCCTTCCTCGTTTCAGGTTAACTATAGCCTTTTGAACTTCTGCTAGAGTTGGGGGAACTACTTCAATGTTCCATTCACACTGTCTGAGAATGGAGGGTAGTTGTAGAGTCGCTAAAGGCTAGCTGAACTGTTCCCTAAAGTGTTCCGCCCATCGTTCTAAACGTCTGGACTGGGAGCAGATGAGAGTATCGACTTTTTCCGATATAATCTCACTTACAGTTGACTTATTAATTCCAGTTTCTTTTATTAGTCTGTAAAGCTGTCTTGTGTTCCCTATAGTCGCCGCCTTTTCCATCTCTTTTGCTTTCGATGCCCACCACTGCTCACGGTCGTTCCTTAGACGTTTTCTTAACCTAGATCTGATTTGTTTACGCTCTTCATCATGTTCAGAACCTGATGGGATGAGTTTGCGAAAATCCATCAGTGTGATAGACCTTGAAGAAATCCACTGGTTCTTTGTAACTCTGTGGTTTAAGTCAATAATAGATGTCACTGCTGTTTCCACAGCTGTTTGTATAGCTTTCCAAGCAACATCTGGGTCAGCCTCGTCTTCAGAACTACCTAAGTGTGACCTCAGTTGTTCCTGGAACCTACTTTTGGTTTTCTCGTTACTCAACTCAGTTCCATTAGGTCTTTTTAATGTGGCTTTTTCGCTTCCAGTGAGGTGCAAGCAGATGCGTGCCCGTATTAGGGCGTGGTCGGAGTCTAAGCAGGTACTCCAGAATGAGCGACAATCTTGTACCGACCCTCTCCAACGATGACTGATGGCAAAATGGCCTATTTGAGTCCATCGTTGATTTGGTGTAGGGGGTCGCCATGTTAGACGATGTCTCTCCTGATGCTTAAAATTTGTGTTTGCTAAAAATAAACGATTGTCTGAGCATAGTTGCAGCAGACGATCACCATTATCTGTTCGCTGTGCCGGTTTACTAAAATACCCACCTAAATGCCTTTCTGTTTGGTTTAAACTAACTGTCTGGGAATTAAAGTCACCTTCTGCGAGTACTATGTCTGAGCGTTTAGCTTTCTGCAGAAATTCGGACAGCTTTCTGTAAAATTCATCTTTCACTTCATCTGAGCTGCAGTCAGTGGGAGCGTTGGCAGAAACGGCAAAAAGGCAACGACAAGTGTTCCTATCCTTCCGAGTTCTTACGTAGCCGTTTAGCCGAACAGCACATAAACGACTGTTGACGGGGATCCACTCTAGTAGTGCTTGTTCGGCCCTCATACTTAGTGCTATGCCTACACCTGCCAGTCCACGAGAACTGGCCATCGGGTCACCAGATACATGGTGGGTGTATCTCGTTGGCTCTCCGTTTTGCCGAGGTGAGGTCAAGTGAATGACCACACTGGAATCCTGTATGTGTGTTTCGGAGACACAGCATACATCAATGGAAAGAGACTCTAGGGTCTTAGCCAAGGAAGCCTGCTGACCGATTTGATATATGGTTCGTACGTTGAAGGCTCTAATGTGTAGTGTGGAGCGAGGTTTCAGTAGACCTGGGACAGTGTTTTGAGCACTAGGATCGTTGGCTGTGGTGACACTTGAGGAAGAAGCCGAAAGAGGAGATTTAGAGTTGAAAGTCGATGTAGGAGGAATAATAAGAATTGAAGAGGGAAGTTGATTATGAATACAGTAGTCTCGAGTGCTGTTAGAGGTATGAGGGCGGTTATCACTTCCCGGTTGCCCACACCGTGGAAGGGTTGTTCTGGAGGTACCTGAAAAGGAATTTGGATTAAAGGTGGTCTTAGTGACCTGAGAGCGTGACCGCAGTGCCCAAGGGACAACTGCTTGAGGCCGGTCGCGCACGGCCTTTTCGTGGGAGGTTTTTGGCGTGTTAGCTCCGTTTTTCAAAGGGCCTTACCGCCGGAGACGGATATCCGTGGGATAAGGCGGGGTGTGCATCTTTAGGGTCGACTTTTTCTAACCCCACCCCTCCTTGTGGGAAGGCAGCATCGCTGTCATGCTGGTTGTCTGAAGGAAACGCCTTACTGCTGTCACACCTCTGTACAGTCAGCAGTACGACTTCACCTTCGGACCTTAGGTTTGTTGCTTTTAGTCTTACCGCTCTTCAACCGACCTGTCTGACATGGTAGGACCTTGAAGAGCGGTTGTTCCAACCAGTATGGCTCAGAATCGATCACAATGGCGTCGGTGTATACACTCCCTGTCTTCCCTTAAACTAAGAGATTAAAATCACTTCATATCTTTCTTTCTACGAACTAATTCTTTCTTCCTATACTATATCCTTATTGCAACCTTTGACCTAACCACTCCTATGAATCCGGTGTTCATCTTGCTGTGCTAATGAGGTATGGCAACCTGGACCGATGCATATATGTGCCTGGTCCTACGTTGTAGCTGACTGACTGACTGTATAGCTCGGTTGCTTTATCACGATAGGCAAGCCCGACCACCACGTCAAACATGTTTCAGAACTAAAGCCAGTGGCGATCTTGCTGTAGTATTCTTGTACTTTCTTGATAAAAAGTTGTTGTATCTTCCTTAACTGAAAGATTTCTTCTGGTTGTACCTTTCCATTTCCCTTATTATTATTATTATTATTATTATTATTATTATTATTATTATTATTATTATTATTATTATTATTATTATTATTATTATTATTATTATTATTATTATTATTATTATTATTATTATTATTATTATTATTATTATTATTATTATTATTATTATTATTATTATTATTATTATTATTATTATTATTATTATTATTATTATTATTATTATTATTATTATTATTATTATTATTATTATTATTATTATTATTATTATTATTATTATTATTATTATTATTATTATTATTATTATTATTATTATTATTATTATTATTATTATTATTATTATTATTATTATTATTATTATTATTATTATTATTATTATTATTATTATTATTATTATTATTATTATTATTATTATTATTATTATTATTATTATTATTATTATTATTATTATTATTATTATTATTATTATTATTATTATTATTATTATTATTATTATTATTATTATTATTATTATTATTATTATTATTATTATTATTATTATTATTATTATTATTATTATTATTATTATTATTATTATTATTATTATTATTATTATTATTATTATTATTATTATTATTATTATTATTATTATTATTATTATTATTATTATTATTATTATTATTATTATTATTATTATTATTATTATTATTATTATTATTATTATTATTATTATTATTATTATTATTATTATTATTATTATTATTATTATTATTATTATTATTATTATTATTATTATTATTATTATTATTATTATTATTATTATTATTATTATTATTATTATTATTATTATTATTATTATTATTATTATTATTATTATTATTATTATTATTATTATTATTATTATTATTATTATTATTATTATTATTATTATTATTATTATTATTATTATTATTATTATTATTATTATTATTATTATTATTATTATTATTATTACGCTTCCTTACACTAATCTGGTCATTATTGTTCATCTTCTTTTTTTCGTTTGGGCTCCTTACCTTTTTATCTCCCCATTCTCATTGTTTCGTGTGGCGCATTTATATTTGGTGCCCCCTTGTACCGATATTTATGTTTTCAAATAAATAATAATCCTTCAGGTATTTCTCTTCATTTTTTCGTGCTGCCAGTGTGCTGGAGTGTGTCCTCGCCGTCTCCACCATCTCAAAATTTCAAATAGCCTGTTTCGTTAGAATAGGTAAGTCCACCGCAAACACCAGTCGTTAGTTATCGTTATAATCTTACATACGACTACAAGGAAATTTATAGTAGTTTAGATCTATAAATCAGCGAGTGTTTATTTCATCCTTCTGTGCTATATCCCGATTATTCACTAGTTTCCAAGTAGATTGGAAAAGTTTGCTTTAATGTACCTAAATGCGAAGGTATTAAAATTCTTTTTTCTAATGCTTTTACTATCAAAGGTTTACTGTGAAAGTCAACCATGTTTACCAGTCGGTTTATCAGACGTTCCGGGTGAAGCTATGGTTAAAATATATTGTCCTAGATGTCAAGATACCTATACACCGAAATCTACTCGTCATCATCATACAGATGGAGCGTATTTCGGTACTGGCTTTCCGCATATGTTGTTTTTAGTTCATCCAGAGTACAGACCAAAACGAGCTAGTAAACAGTTTACTGCAAGGTAGGTTTTGTTATAGGAAGTGTTTATACGTATTTTGATATGCTATACAAATTGTGTATTAATTACTTAGGAGAAAAATAAGATAATGCAGCTTCGTAATCCAACGCCTGTTTTCAGTCACAAGTTTGAGCCTAACTCAACCTAATTCGCTTTGAGTGACCGGGTAGTATCTCTAGGCCTCGCGTTTAGAGTGTCACTTGAAGTCAATTACATGGATCTGTGCCTGATAGGTGAGTTACCAGCTTTTTGTTGACTGATGCTTGTTGAAACTCCATCTGTGTAATAAAATTAACTGTTTTTAGAAACTTTCCACTGTTTCGGGTTACGAATACTCTTAAATGTATGGTAGAGTATCTCGTTGATTTCACTAAACTTTCGTTTTTAATACTCTGAAACATTCATTGAGTTATCCTAAACTGTCTATGCCTCTCATACATATGGTACTTAAAGGATTCTTTGATGTTAATTTGATCGTATTCTATATATTTCTGGTTAAATGAATAAAAGAGAATTCAGTCTTACTTTGTTCATCTCTGAGTACTTAATTTATTACTTAATGTTAACTCTCAAGTTATATAATTCTCGAAGGCAGCTGTTGCATAATTTCAAAGAAACAGCCGTAAAATCGACCTAAGTTTTTTTTACTTGTTGCATGTTTATACACCTAGTGTCTGAATAATACTTAATGAGTAGCTGAACGTGTTAAAATTGTCAAGTTTTCAAGGAATTTCCTTCCGTGATATTAACATGTATTAATTGAATAGTACTTTAGAATCAGTAATAATCCAACCTCATGCAAACAAGACAAAACGATACGAACTGGAAAGGTTTAAATTCGAAGTCAGCAGTACAGTACTGTGTTACGTAGCTATCACAAAGGTAAACAAAACAGTCACTCAGTCAAACACGACGCAGAACCTGGGATATGTGTGCATCAGTTCAATTTTCCATACCTCGTTAGCACAGCGAGATGAGTTTCAGAGCGAACCCCAGAGTAGTAGAGGTATCAACAGTATTATTCACATTACAAAAGATTATGCATGAAATATACAATTTTAGAGGAAAAATATAAATTAGTGACATAATCAAAAAAGTTTATAAGGAGTTTAGGAACTTAGAATTTAAGGAAAAACAGTGAATGCACCTGTTCAATTGTGAACGATTTTGATTCGTGTCGTTCCAAATCTCTAACCACCGGTTACAATAATCACACGGACCCAGACCAGGTAGTCTGCATATATCTACATGGCTCAGTTCAACTATTGAATCAAATAGTAACAAGACTTATAAAGTGTGCATTAGTTCAAATAGTTATTCAATAAACAGCAGTTGGTTTGCCTATGCTGTTTTTACATAAAATGATGGTTTAGTGTTAAATAAACGCTATCTTAACTTTGTTATCCTCAGCCTGAAATCCTTTATTCATTTAGTAATGTTCATCCAAATAACTGTTAAAATGTTTGTGTTCAAAGTGACTCACTATCCGTCTCATAAAAATGAGCTTGTTAATTAATACAACAGTTACTTAGTTATGATACGATGCCAAAAGTTTAGACCTAACAACCAGGTCTTGATTGGGTAATGAGCAACCTGCAAGCTAATCTCCTCCAATCGCCTGTGATATTTGATTGCATTTATTTTGTGTTCATATTCTGGATATAATAACATTTTATTACACGCGAAACTACTTATCTGACTAGTGGTCTTGTCTTTAATTTCTAACCATCAATAATACGATCTCTTAAGTAGTCATCACTCGATCACGTGGCCGTTGTATTCGTCTGCCGATTATAATCCTATTCAATGACTTTAACAATTAAAAAATTTCGTCTCATCACCACATCAAAAACCTAAACGAGATGTTAAAATCCTATCGAAAGTTTTAGGATTTATCCTTCAAGGATAAATGGGTAGAACTACATAGTCACTGATAATGTAGGGTAATAATAGCATTGTATTTTAACTTAATGGCATTCTAAAGTAGGAATTCAATCATAAAGCTTATCACACTGTTATAATTTCTCTTATTACGACCCAGCTATTCCTATTCCTTATTATTTTTTGACACTACTTCACTCGACAACTCCCTAAATCAGAACATGGTTGAACAGGAACGAAATTATATTCTAGATAATAAGGGTAGATGGAAGTAGGAATCAGAACAAGAAAATCGTTAGTATGTTTATAGTTTTTACATGAGATTCTAGAGTCTTCTCCAAGAATCTACTATCGCTGATTGGATAAGAAATAGCCAATCAGCGTGTACCAATACAATTGTGCACGGAACGTGCATTAATCCAGTCTATATTCCGCTAACATACGCGAATACTTTTTATTTTCAGTTGACTTCCATGTGGGGTCGATAGTTCGAACACACAAGTTGTTTCAAATTAAAACAACATAGGGTTTTGGATTTTTGCACTTCATTAACTCCAAATGATGTCGGTTTTCAAAGTAATAAACTCTATAAGAGACTGACAAAGTGTTGTAACTGAGTTCAAAAAGAATTATTCATCTATAAATCATCACTGGAAATAAATTTTCCATCACTTAAATATGTAAATTATGTTACAACGGTAGAGTAGTTCATAATTTTCCTACAATGTAGTTCTCCTCAACATATTATCTCCTCTATAAGGTTGAACTATTGGGAATGTTATCAGGTCAACAATACTTGGTATTAAAATTTAAAATCGATAGGATAGTTTTTAACACGTCATCTATGGTCTATAAATTTAGTACATGAAACAGTAACTAATTCACAACAACTTTAAATATTCCAGGCAACTATTTTGTAGTATTAGGAGTTTATAAAAGTCATATAGGCTCTGTCAAACAGTAAACATATTTCAGTGCATAGTTTTTGTTTATTTTTACACTGTTGTTTTTTATTTATTTCATTTTTAACAGGTTATTTGGCTTTAAAATACATCCTTTGGCTTATCAACTACAATATCAAGCTGCGGCTAATTATGTTATGCCTGTACGCCCTGGTTTTTCAAAACGTGCATAAAATTAGAAACGACTTTACTGTTGATCGTTGTAAATCACGTCTGATTTAAGCGTGGTGGAAACTAATACTTATTTGTATTGTTGTTATTGTTTTTTCTTCACATCTTTTGTGAATTCATCAGTTAGAAAGAGAAATATAATTTTAATAGAACCAGATAATTGATGTTCTCTTTCCATGTTAGTACCCTATGTGTTTATATTCACTTCATTGGAAATCTGTTAAAAAAGTGCAAATGCACTATACTATATGTTCATTTTGGAAAACTAGTCCCCAATTTGTTCCTACTTTGAACCGTTAATATGGTGTACATAAAGCATCGATAAAGTTCATTCTACCTGTGTAGTTTGAACTCATGTCTTTCAGTTAAGAATATTAGGAGTAAACTTTTCTGCTTTAGATAACCTTTTGCAATGAAAGACCAAATGAGATAAGTAGTTATGACGATCTTCTGTTTTTCATTTTGTTAGCCAACATGCTTCTTATCAATAGGTGTTAACTTCATGGATTGTAGCCTTCGTGTTATTATTATGTCATCTCTTGTGTACATTACTAGTTTCAAAATAATCTTACTTCACGGTAGACAATGATTTAAATTCTTGAATACATTTCCAAACAATTTTATTTGGTACAAATATACAACGACAATTGTTAATCAAAAAACTAGTAAATTTATTGAGAATCGCTTGTGGTCAAAACTTATATCGGGGATCGACTAAGTTGAACAAGGCCTACTAATTATTCTCTGCCGAAGGAATGCTCTTCTCAGTGTGACCAGATATGGTTGATATTGTCTTGTATGTAAGCGCTAAGAAAAACTTCAGACCATGAGTTAGTGTCATTTCAGAGCAGTGGTATGCGTGTGTGAAGAAAAGTAACTCTGTAGAACAGTAGTGATGTAAGAGGAAGGGCGTGACTAGGAATTTCTGCATCTGAATATCGTGGGGTTATCGCCAGTAATTTAAGATGCCTGGTTCGGTGTGTTTGATTGGTATCTGGCCAGCCGCTGAATTAATCAATGTTTTTGACTGTCAAACGACCTACTGGGTAGAAAACTGTAATTCAAAACTCAATAATCCAGTCATAATGTTGTTTACGGTGGACAATAATTGCAACTTTTTAATATTAAGAATAACCCAAATTAAGTTTTGCATCCGAGGATCCTCTCTAACCAGTTAAACAATTATTGTTTCCTGATTGTAATCCATATGACGTCTCTTTGTTTTAATCACTCACATTGTGGTGGCTCAGCGATCAAAGCTCTGGACTCACTAAGTATCAGATCTGAACTGCCGCATCTAATTCGATTTGGTTAGATGCCTATTGTCACTAGCCTTGACAATTAGAGTGTATCTCAGCCAAATGCATTCATCTGTACCTGATAAATGAGTTAATGATTTAATAGATAGAAAGATTTAATCATTAGGTCAGTTTCAGTAGACAGGGGTCAGTACTTATCATTCATATTTTATATCTGGAACACTTTACCAGTCTCATTTGCAAAATTCACTTAATCATATGAAATCAGATTGTTCGAAATCTATGGCGCAAATACACCATATTTTTTTCAGATCAACTTAATCTCATTACATTATAGAAATAAACTAATGGTCTCGGAAATCTTTATATTTTTTCTTCTGAAAATATCAATATAATAGGTTGTAATGGAGAAAAATGATTGCACAATTTCCGGCAAACAATTACATAATATAAGAAATATTCGATCATTAGGGCGAACATAATCAATTTTAGGTATGTAATTAACCTATAAACTAAAGAAATATCCATCTATGAAAGAAATGAGAACCAAGAAAATACGGATCAAGTCTTTCATAATAATAATGATAATAAGTAGAATCATTGCAAATAATATTAAGTAGATGTGAACAAAATCAAGTAGGGTTTACTGTAAAGAGAGTTTGTTTGATGAAGAATATTTCTTATAGTTGATCCTTACCTTAAAATTTCTACAATATGTGGAATATTCCTGTGTAGACTTATTTGTATTGATTGTCTGGCTCTTATAAGTAGCGTCGAGTGAAGAATCTAAGTTCGAATCAATGTAAACTTGGTTAACCTATAATGATAGATGCTTATTAGTTGGACAGAATAGACATACCCATCTGATTGCTACTTATAATGGCTTTATGTGTTTTTGTAAAAGTATTTTTGTTATAAGGAAAAATTGAAACTTGAATTTGGTGTCTATTACAACATGCACGAAAACATTATCCCTTAAACTGCTGAATCCGTTTGATCACCAACTTGTTCAATGCATATGAATTTATTTATAAGACTTTATATTTCTGATGTTATGGTGTCAACTGATCTGATCCCGATTTGGATGAATGTATGAATATACTATAAATATAAATCTTCCATTTAACTTTGTATATTACCTAGACTAACCCCGTTTGTATGACGGCAGTAATAAGAAACCAAATACAGGTGGCGTTGTAGGAATTTACTTCTGGCATTCGTTTGTTTCGTAAATAGTTTTTGATAGCTTTCGCATTTATTTTGTTTATTTCCACAATCTGTACATTTATCACTAAACGATTGTACTTGTTGTTTGAGTATGTGACTTTGACAACTAACTTCCGTTTTGAACTACACATAGGACTGCATTGCCAACTATGCATTAATAAATACACTCTTATACACACATGCCTCGTTCTATCATCCCTGTGGATATAATAACTAAACTATTGATTAACTGCCAACTATATTTATAGACTGTTGTGACATTCCTATTGCATTCTACGTCGAGAAAACTGGCTGGAGCCATATTTACCTCATTGAAATTATTAATTATCTATAATTGTGGATCTTTGGTACCAAGCACAGTGGAATACGCAACAGCCAGTTGATTTAAGCAACGTCCCTGAACCTTTATTTTGCGTTAATAATTTATAAGTTGTTAATTGTTATATTAACTTCTGGACGTAATAACTTTATTACTATTCCTTTTTGGTTAATATACTGTTTGGTCCACCACACGTTTATCCCGACAGACGATCAGATAAAGGAAGCGAAGCGAAAGGAAATGACGCGCAGAGGGGAAAGTAAGTAAGTCAACTCAATTTAGTCAAGCGTCAATCAATATTTATATTCAGACAAAAATAAACTACAGATATGTGATAAGTAGGGTAAGCAATACACGCACATACGATCATATAAAAACAATCAGGTTAATAAGCGGACAAGTGACAAGGTCAAAGTGCAGCTCGAGTAGAATGAATAAATTGATCTGTCCAGAAGCTAGAATAGCCAATGTGGGCCTGACATAGCACCGTCCACTACAGTGTCAATAACTAGTAGTGAGACAGATCAAAATTAACAACGTGGAAATGTGGACTCGTACAAATAAATTTGAATACTGTTTTAAACACACTCAACTTTAATTAGAACACTACAAATTCACAGTAGACATTGATAAAAATTTTAAATTTACCTAAATATATGTACTGAAAGAAGTGTTTTCCAGAAAAGATTCCAGCTTGATCAATATTGTCATTTTGTATAGAATACCAAAGAGAATTCAATAAAATGCGTTCAGACAATACTGTGTGAATAAGACAATATTTTTATATCAGCTTGTGATCTTGATATTTTATTAATATCTGTTTGTTGAACAAATAATCGATGGCTGAAAAACCGTTCACCATTGAGTAACTGTAATGACTTGACAGAATACTGGTTCTGCTACGTGTTCTGAACTGCGGACACGATTGTTTACTTGTTAATGCATAATGGAGCAAACACTGATATTGCTTGATTTAAAGAAAGAAAGGTAAGACCGATGATTAAGTGTCTATTGTACGCCAAACACAAATCCACTACTGATCAAAACAATATCTAAAGTTACTATGAAGTGTATGTCATTCAAATATTCAGTCAACAATCAAATCTGAAATCACTGGACTGGCGGTAAGTTACATTGCATTAATCAATAATTGAATGTGTGTGCACATTTTACAGTATAAATGAATTATCTGCTTTAACTAATCAATATAACTAAATTACTGAATAACATAATTATACCCTCGTAACAGTAACGCGGTATGACTATTCGATTTAAGTATAAGACTGAACACTATCGTTCATTTTTTATTTCTTACGGAGTAAACCGTACGACTGTTAACTTTGAAACTGAATGCGTCTTAGTTTTTTTTTCATATGCCATTAAACTTTTCGTAATTAATTGAAATATGTCATGAATGATGTTGTTCAGTGTGGCAGTTAAACAATATCACACTAAGATTAATCCAGATAGCTATTAACTACGTGACTGTTCTGTTTAATGTGAATATTGAACACTCTAGCAAACTATTTGTTTAATGGTGTTGAGATAATGATTTGCACACCATTAACAATGATATAGAGTAGGTCACTTGTCATGGAATGGATTAGGCATATTTTAACTGTCACAACTAGTAAATTGTAAACGACATATTATTAATTATTCAGTGATAAGTTTGACAATTATAATACTTGATTCAAAATGTGACATTATTCAATATAAAATTAAAATGCAGTGAATAAATGTTTTAGTTATTGTACACCTCAAGTATTTGATTAATATTTGTATTTGTTTGTGGTAAATTCTCATAACAGACAATTCTGTTGATATATCCGATTGATGCTTCTTCTACAGTTCTTGTTTTTGTGCCCTATATAGATCTAATTATTTCACTACTAATTCTTACTATGATTCAATTATCACAGAAATTTATTTCAGTGTATTAATGAGTGATTGTGAATCTACCCTTGTTCATTTTTATTTAACTTGCATCGAGACGAATATATCCATGTGTGGTAAGTGAATAAAAAAAACAACAACTGTAATTTACGTTTATGCAAACAAAATTCGATTGAGTTCACTATCCAATATTAAACAGACGAAACCAGATCACACCAGAAATACTTTTTATTCTTTCATCAGACATTGAATTAATTATATCATCAATTTAGTATGTTCTTAAAAAAACATACCAAATATATAATACTTTACTCCAGTTCTTTTTTTCCTTATCCCTCTTCCTATTCTTATTCGATTTGCCTTATCGTATACGACTACATTCTATCTGTAAATAAGTGTTAACTGGTAACTTATACTAGATAACAGATTATATATGCGATTGTGTTGCACGTGAATGGTTGTAAAATGCTATCTCCTTCGTGGTGAAGAGATAGGGTTGTGGAGTATTATATATGTACGGCAATATCTAATCAAACGGTAGTAATATTTTGGTAGTTGAGCGCTAATTTTTATTCAAGGTAAAACCAAAATATCTCCAGTTATACAAATGAATTCTACAGGTAAGAAGATACATCTCAAATGTTAAAAATGTTATACTCTGAGTGTAGATACAATTGAAGTAATAAATAAGCAAGTCTCAATTATGGCGTCTCTCATTAAAAAATCCGTCAAACACACAATGATTCAAAGAATAAAATAAGGGCTATTAAACAAACAGAGCAGACAACATGCCACAAAAGTAAGTAAACAGAAAAAAGTTTTATATAACAAATACATCAAAAACTCAATGATCATGACTAAATCTCATGTCCATTAAATTAGTTTGTAGTGACTCACGTTTATCACGAGAACACGACTGGTTT